CAGCATGCGGAGGAACGCTGGTCTGGTCACATCAAAGACAGGGTCGTCTTTCAAGTCTAAGGTGACGGCGCCGCATGGCCCACGACGGGCCCACCTTGCCGAGACCTGGCCCGCGCCAGCGAAGATCTCGATGACAACTTGGCTCTTGTTCTTCCCTCGTCTGAGGGCGGGATGCGGCGCGCAGCGGAGGCGCCTCCGAAGGGCCGAGTCCGTCACTGGCGCCATGCACTCAACGGCGTCGCCCCTCCGCCAGGCCGCGCCGCTGTCTACTGCAGCGGCGGCGCGGCCTTTGGGGGCGCCGTCGCTCCGCGCCCGCCGCTGAGGATCGGCGCCGACCGCTCCTCCACCGTCTTGGCGTAGACGATGGTGGCCGTGTCCAGCCGATGGCACTCCGCGAGGTACCGGGCCTGCCGCGCGTGCCGGGCCGCGCTGCCTGGCGCCGCGTGCCGAAGCCGCGCCTGCGCCGACCTGAGCGGCACCTGGTCGACCGCCACCGCGCGCGAGGTCCAGCCGTGGCGGATGCTGTAGATGCCCCAGCCGGGCTCCCCGTGGAGGGCGAGCAGCCGCGCCAAGTCGCGGCGGAAGCCGCTGGCCGGCCGCGACCAGAGCGCGCGCGGCCCTGGCCGACGCTGCAGCAGCCTGCTGAGCCAGGGGCCAAGAGCTTGCGACGCGAGCGAGCTCAAGAACAACCCCTCGTCGAACAGGTTCGCCGTGGACGTCTGGCCGAGCTCCTCTGGGTAGAGCAGCAGGGCCCACTGGGGCTTGCCCAGACTCGGTGCAGGTGGCACCAGCGAGGCCGTCGCCAAGCTGACGAGGTCCGACGGCGCCCGGAGCGCGGCGGCCCAGCACAGGAAGATCAGGAAGGGAAAAAACACACAGACACAATTAATCGGCGATTCCCCGGAAAATTTGGGAAAATATGGGAAGTGGGGGGGAAGACAAAAACCCAGAACATATGGGAAAATATGGGGGATCGCACTTATTTGTGTGCATTTATTTGTGCGCCCCAGGGCCCCTTCAGAAGAGCGCCCGCGCCAGCTCCAGGTCCTCCCCCCGCGCGGCAGCCCCCGCCAGTGCCAGCAGGAGAGCCCGCAGCATGGGCGGGCGCGCGCAGCCCCGCGCGGCCTTCCGGAAGCCGGCCAGCGCGGCCCGGGCCCCCGGCAGCGCGGCAGCTGCATCTAGCCCGAGGCTCGGCCAGCGCAGTCGGAGCCCCGCGATCAGCTTCTCCCCCTTGTCATAGTTGTAGCCCTCGAAGATCGTCCAAGTACATCGCGAGCCCCTGGTCCAGCGCCTGCATCGGCCGCACTGGGGGCCCCTTTACGGCCATCCAATCCAGGAAGAGCTGGCTCTCCGACTCCCTGCACCGGCGAGCTCCAGCGCCGACCCGAGCTCGCTGCAGGAAGGACCAGCCTCTCCCGCGGGCCTCCCCCGCCTCGCCGCCGAGCTCGCGCCGGCGAGCCTGGCCCCGAGCCTTGCGGCGAGCAGTAGCCGCTGTCGCTCGTGGCCCAGTCGCCGTCCGCGCCTCGGCCGTCGCCCTCCGAGCTCGTGGAGCTGACGGGCGAGCTGCTGCGGGGGCCGGCCGCCGAACCGAGGCGCCGCGGCGCCCCTGGGGGCCGGGCCAGGGTTGATGCCGCCCCCGAGCCCGGCGAGCCCGGGAGGAGGCTGGCGGCGGGCGGCCCCCGCCGCAACGGCGGCAGAGCGGGCCGCGTCGGCCGCCGCGGCGGGGCCCCGAGGCGCGCCGAAGGCAGCGCGGCGCCGGCCCCAGGCCGGGCCCCGCGGGACCGGCCCATTGGACCTCGAGGGGCCGTCTGCAGGGTTCCACTCCGATGGGGCCCATCTGATGACGACGCTGGCGTTGGCGAAGATACAGAGAGAGAGAGAGAGACTGAGAGAGAGAGAGAGAGAGAGAGAGAGAGAGAGAGAGAGAGAGAGAGAGAGAGAGAGAGAGAGAGAGAGAGAGAGAGAGAGAGAGAGAGAGAGAGAGAGAGAGAGATAGATAGAGAGAGAGAGAGAGAGAGAGAGAGAGAGAGAGAGAGAGATAGATAGTGAAAAAAAAAAAAAAAAAAAAAAAAAAAAAAAAAAAAAAAAAAAAAAAAAAAAAAAAAAAAAAAAAAAAAAAAAAAAAAAAAAAAATCTGGCGACATAGAGCGTTAATCGAGGTAGTAGAGCTTCCCCCTCCCCGAAAGCGAAAACGAATCCGAGGTCATCGCAGAGGGGCAAGAAAGGCGAGCCCCAGGCCCCCAGGGAACGAAGCCGGTGGCGAACCCCCATCAAAACCGCGCGCACTTCCAGGATCAGAATGTTCTCGTCTCCTCGCCGTGAAACAAAACATTCCAATCGTCCTTCACCCCGGCAAAAATGAAGCTGACGCTCGAGAAGTCCGTGATAGAGCTGACGGATGGGACGATAGGGCTGACGTCTGTTTCCTGCAATGCATGTTGCCGTGCCGTGATCATGTCCTCGGTAGCGCACCGCCGCCGCTCTGCCTGAAACATGACGTCGCGGGCGGCCGACTGAGTCACCGTCCGCTCGGTGACGCCGAAATCCGCCGGCAACGGGGCCGCCGCGGGGCGCGTCGGTAGCCGGCACCCGGTCAGAGAAAGGCCTCCTCGAGTCCATGAACGCGAACAGGATCGGAATGGTGGCGCCCAAGAGCCCGCGACGAACACCACTCCGCGCGCGCCAGCGCCGGGGCCCCGCCTCGCGGGCGAAGATGCACCCAAGCTGGAAGACGGCGAGCAGCTCCCTCCGGAGAAGCGCGCCCCAAGTGTAGTGGCCGATGAGCCGCTCGACCTGCTTGCCCGTGAGGTGGGGGGAGGAGGCGGCCTCAAGAAGGGCCGGCCAGGTCTTCCACGTGCGCTCGCGCGGGAGCGACACGATGCCCCACTCGATCGGCGTCGAAGACGAGGCCAGCGAACTTCTGGCCCGGGCCCGCGGAGACCACGCCCTTGCAGAGCACGTCCCGCGCGGCGAGGGTCCGCTCAACCTTCTCGCAGTCGGCGTTCACGCCCGTCGAAGCCCCGACGACGGGGGCCCCTTCGACGTAGACCGCGGCCGCGTTCGCCTCCGCGATCGGCGGGGCGCTTTGGCGGTCCCGCACCAGCTGCTCCGCTCCGAAGCCCGAGGCCAGCGCGGCGCCGGTGACGAGCTCCTGGCAGAAGTAGAGGCTGTGACCCCACCCCGCGGGCAAGACACTCAGCGGGGGGCTGAAGCGGCCTCGCGCGAGCCAGGCGGGATCGATCAGCTTCGCCAAGTCGGGGCGAACCTTCTCGAACGCATTGAACTGCGCGGCAGGCAACAGAAAATGTCGATCCAGTCCAGAAGGTAGATCGATACCATAGAAGGCGCTGTCGACGACGAGCTGCGCCACGTGCAGAAGGCCCCCCTCGGGCGTCTCCAGACTCTGCCAGCTGCCCGGGGTGGCCAGCACGGCGCGGCGCGGGCCTACGAACCGGGAGTTGACCAACCTTGCTGAAGGGGCCCCAGGATACACACACAAATACACACACATAAATGTGATCCCCCATATTTTCCCATATGTTATGGGTTTTTGTCTTCCCCCCCACTTCCCATATTTTCCATTATTTTCTGAGAATCGCCGATTAATTGTGTCTGTGTGTTGTTTTTCCCCCTCCTGACTTGCGTCGATGATCGGCCGCAGCTGCCGGGGCGTCTTCCGCGCAAAAAAAAATACCGATTGTACGCGGGCCCTCTGGCCCACAAGCCGCCGCGCCAGCGTCCGCCAAGTCACCCGCGAACTTCGCGTAGGCAACTGGGTCCGAGACCAGCGCGGGGTCTAAGTGCGGACGGATGCTCGGACCGCCCCCGAGGTCCTCTCATCGCAACAATCGCCGGCGCCAGTCTACCCACAACTCCCGAGATTCGCCCGTCAGCCACTTTGCCGGCTGGCAGTGCGGACCGGGCGCCGGCAGGGCGACATTGCCCTCCTGGCAGGTGGCGCGCTGCTCCGGCTCCTGCATGTAACCGGGGCGGGTACCGCACGGCGCAGTGAAGGCTGCCGCGGCCGAGCCGATGGGAGGACCGGCTCGTTGAATTTTTTCGCGAAGATGCTCCGAGGATGCAAGCTGCGCCGTAGATGGCCGAGCAGAAGCCCCAGCTCTCCCAGCTCCGTGCAGCGAGTTAAGAGTGTCGACGACGTCGCCGACGAGCGCGCGCACGTGGCCTCGGCGCCGCAGGCGAGAGCGGACGGAGCGAGACAAGCCGCCGAGCTCCGCCGCGGGAGTGGCCTCGCGAGGTGCCGCCAGAGGCAGCAACTCTCGCAAGACCGGGGGGCCGCCCATGGCTACTCGGCCGCCGCGGGCCCCCGGCCCGCGCGCCTGCCGCCCTTGACGGCCTGGGGGCGGCGGATCTCCCCCGCTTGCCGCGCCACCTTAATCTTCTCGAGCTCGGTCGTGCCAGCAGCCCCGGCCGCGCCGCCGCTGCCGCGCCCGCCAGGCGGGCGCGCTGCCATGCGCTCCTCGCGCACCTTCCTCCTCTCCTTGGCGGTGGCGTACTCCTGGTGCAACTCCTGTCTGATGTGATCCTGGAGAGCCGGTGCCACCACAATGAGGCCCCGGGTCTCGCCAGTGCCGAGGTACAAGAATTCGTCCTCCAACATGTCGTCTGAGCCAGCCCGCGATGTCAAGCGCTCACGGTGCCGCCATTCAGCGAGTTGAGCCTTCCTCATCAGGAGCTCGACGCAGGCCAGCTCGGTGATATTCAGTTGATCGTAGCCTACCGATATTTCCAAAACCTTATGGCCAAGTAACTCGTGGTCCCCGACGCCGATGTCCGAGGCACCGAGACCACACTCGTGGCGCCACTTGGTGTGGCGGCTCCGGAGATTCTGATATTGCTAAGCGATGAACTGGATGCACCAGGCCGTGGTGCGAGGGCCGCGGATCGGCCAGCCATCCCAGTGGCTCTCCGTCAGCAGCTTGGCGCTCTCCCTGGAGTTGCGGCGCCGCTCGCCGTCGGCCGCAGTCTCCACCGAGCGTCGAGGTCGGCGTTGGCCTCCGCCGTGGTGCCCTCGTCGCCCTGCTGCGCCACAGCGAAGCCCGCGATGCAGCGTTCTCGTCCACCGCGGCATTGCCGATGACGGTGTGCGCGCTGGTGTTGCCCGAAGAACCCTTCACGATCCACACATTCGGCGCCGCGTCCGGCAGGTGCTCGTACCCCACATCGACGTTACCACTCTGAGTCGCTCCAGACGCTATCGGCTGCTTGCCCGCTAGCCGACGCCTCGTTCCTGGCCGGGCGCCGGACGAGCGGTTGCCCGCGTCGGGGCTGTGCTGAAGGCTGACCCCGGCCAGTTCCAGGGCGGCGAAGAACTTCATCGGCGATGGCTGCCAGTCGTGGCCGTGCACCTGTTCGATCTTCCGAAGCACTGTCCCCGCTGCGCTCTCCTGAATGATGTGGTTGTCGTCGTCGAACGCCGCCACTCCTGAGAACCCAGGGATCGTTAATGCGTGTGGGTACACGTCGCCGTCCGGGGTCATCGCGAACCAGAAAGCCCAGCCTTGCCAGCCCCAGCTGGCGGCTCCCTCTCCATCACGCTCTTGAAGTCGCTCTCGGAGCATGGCGTGAGCAAGATCCGGAGCTGCCAGTCCGTGCCCTTCATCCACTGCACGGCGACCCGCCGGCCAGGGCATAGGACAGCCGCAGGCGGCATGGATGCACGTGCCAGTCACCCCGAGCAAGACCCCGAAGATGAACAGCAGCCCAGCACCCGTCCAGAAGCTGCCCAGGACCTGGCGGGCCAGCAGGCAATTGCTGGCGGTGTCTAGATCCACAAGCGTACTGAGTGGGAGCGTGCTGGCGGCCACCCCCGCGAGGGCCAGGAAACCCATCGGCTGACGTCAACTTGAACCAACAATGGCCTGCGGACGGCCTCGGCTCCGACGGCAATCAACGCTGTTTCACACTATAACCTACATACATACGTACGTACGTACGTACATACATACATACATACATACATACACACATACATACATACATACATACATACATACATACATACATACATACATACATATATACATGCATGCATGCATACATACATGCATACATGCATACATGCATACATGCATACATGCATACCTGCATACCTGCGTACCTGCATACATGCGTACATGCATACATGCATACATACACACATACACACACATACACACATACACGCATACATACATACATACATACATACATACATATATACATACATACATGCGTGCATACATACATACATACAAACAAACATACATACATATATACACACATACATACATATATACATACATGCATACATACATACATACAAACAAACATACATTCATACATACCTACACACATGCATGCATGCATGCATACATACATACATGCAGGCATGCATACATACATACATACATATACACATATATGCATACATACATACATAAATACATACAGACATACAGACATACATACATATATGCATGTATACATATATACATACATACATGCATGCATACATGCATGCAGACAAACACACATACGCATACACACATACACACATACACACATACACACATACACACATACACACATACACACATACATGCATGCATGCATACATACATACATGCGTACATACATGCGTACATACATGCGTGCATGCATGCATACATACGTATACATATATGATTTAACCATCGGGAACGACGAGAGGCAGAGATACATATATAGAGAGAGAGCGTGTATCGGGATAGCATGAGGGAGCGCACGGATCGGTAACGAACAAATTACAATCGTGAAAGGACAGGGAGAGAGACAGAAAGAGAGAGGTAGGGAAGGGAGAAGACATTGAGCCAAATGGCTGCCATGTGAGCCACGTCGGTGTTGAAGGCATGGCCACATGTGTTCATGCCACCTATCCAAGGAGAACTCATGTTCAGGGCCGAGCGACGTTGAAAGACAAGGGAAGTGCACACGAGATTGTTCGGTGTGCCCCCAGTGATGAGTTGGCCAATCGTCTATACCATGCCGAGCACCTGCCGCACTGAGAGCTTGTAGTTTATGTGTCCACCACTGGAGCAATCGAGGGGCACGGTGCGTCCAAGCCTTCATGCTGGCACGATCGTGCACCGAAGAGCGTGAGAGAGGTGAGCAATGCATCTATTCTGTATCTGGGCCACTTCTCACATACCGCAGGATCCTGACATGCAAGCACGCGTTCTCCCTTCTCCGTCCTCCCTCCGATGGCCTGGCGCACAGGCACCCTCGGAGGTCCCCAGCGCGCTCCCAGAATGGCGGGAGCAAGGCGGCAGAGAGAGGAGGGCATGGGCGAAGCCAGACACGGGGGCAGGCGAGCGAGCGAGCGAGGCGGGAGAGCAGCAAGCAGGGCACGAGACTGCCCCTTCTCCTCCGTCGTCCCCCCCCCCTCCCGCCCGCGCGCACTCTTGCCTTCCCTCCCTCCGTGGCCCCGCCCTCTCTGCCCTCTCTCGCCTTTGGGGAGGAGGAGGAGGAGGAGGAGGAGGAGGAGGAGGAGGAGGAGGAGGAGGAGGCTCTCTCCGGCCGTGGCGGCACACGCTCAACACTGCCGGGAGAGAGGGCCCCGCGAGGCCCTGGAGCATCGCCTGGCCCAGAGCTGTCTCTCCCGGTCACCAGCCCTCGGACTAGTTCCCCCCTGAAGTGCTGGGCCGAGGACTGGCTCCCTGAGGGACTTCAAGTCGACGTCCTGCCACAGGGCACGCACGGTGTGAACGAAAGGGCTTCTCTGGCCGCGGCGGGCCTCGGCCACAAACACGTTCCACCACACGAGTCCACGCAGCGGCCCAGAAACTCGAGCCCCTCCTGAGCCCAAAGCGGTCCTTTTTTCAGCGTCTTGACTGCAGGGGGGAAGTTTTCCCCCTTGGTCCTGCTTCCCTTCTCCGCGTCCTCCTGCCGCTCCGCCATCTCCCTGCTCTCCTGCCTGCACGCCATAGAGAGCAGCAGGACCCCCCGCACACAAAAACTAAGAGAAACAGCCCGACGAGGGAAACCGTTTTTTTTAAGCGAACAGGGCAGGGCTGCGGAGTGAACGCCCAGGGCCGTCGGGGTCGGGGTGGCTGTCCCCCTCCCCTGACGACAAGGCGCGGTCGGCGCGCAGCCGACGCCGGGGCGGCCGGCCGACCGAGCGAGGGGGGGGGGCGCAGAGGCGCAAGGGCGGGGCTCGGGGAGCCGAAGGAGCACCCGCGCCACGCCGCCGTGGGGAGGCCAAGGGCCCGCTCTCTGGACAGTCTCGGACGAAGCACGAGACATAGTTTTAAACACATATTCAAGAAGAGCCAAGCACCGTTGAAACCAATCGTCCCCAGGCTTTTCTTGTTACTTTGGTTGTTTTTGATATCTAAAATATGTTTATAACATGTTTCACTGTAGAGGCGCATGCCTTAGTGAGGGGGTCTCCTACAGCGACCATTAGCAGGCCATGGCTGTTAACTTCTTGGCCCGCGGAATGAAAGCACAAAAAAACGAATTTGACAGACGAAGCGCCTTGAAATTTTCAAAATTCCGCTGAGCACTGATTTTTGCACGGCCTGTTTTGCCATCGGCTGCTTTGCAATATTCAGATTTCCACGAGGCATTAATTTTTGCCAGGCATGTTTTGCCATGGGGCGATGTGTCATCGATTCAAACGCGGGGAACCCCAGGCGATGCTCATTGGTACAACGCCCAAAGGGTTTCCGAAACAAACAGCGCACATGTTGGAGTTGGCGCGCGGCGTACGCGAGTGAGAAAGCAGCCGCTTCTCTAGGGCAGCGCGCGCCTTGAGGGGACGCAAGCTTCAACGTGCGAACGCGTCCACCGCGCAAGCGCAAACGCTACGAGCGACGGGAAAAACCGCCCGCTGCTCGGCGATGCGCACACCTGTCGCGACATCACTCGAGAACGTCGCAATCACATTTGTTTCCGCCCAACTTTGAAGACGGCGCTGCGTAACCAAAGCGCGCGCGGGCGCGCCAAAATCGAAGCAAACACGCACGCGCACACGCACGCACACACACACACACACACACACACACACACACACACACGCGCGCACACACACACACACACACACACGCACGCGCACGTAGCGAGCCAAACTTTTGAGTCGCGACGGGTACAAGCTAGACCAGGGCGCGGCTAACATAATTGACGGCAGCGCAAACATCTCTCTCTCTCTCTCTCTCCCTCTCTCTCTCTCTCTCTCTCTCTCTCTCTCTCTCTCTCTCTCTCTCTTTCTATATATATATATACAATATCATCTGTAAATGGAAACAAAGAAAACGGATCGCGGTATATTGCCCAGCAGCCAGCCCGGAAACGCACCCGAACGGGCTCCGCGCCCCACGGGCGCCGCAAGGAGAATTGTCGAATGCCGACGCGCACTTCCGCGCCGCGAAAGGGCCCCCATGCCGCTGGAGCTTCCGCCACCGCCCCGCCAATCCGTAGTGGGGGAGGGCCAAGTTACAATACGTCTCAAACGAAAAGGTCCGCAAAAAAACAAAAAGATTAAAAAAGTAAAGAAAAAAAAAAAAAAAAGAAATGCAATAAAAGACGAAAGAAAAAAAGCGATGTTGCTTTCTGGAGCGCCAGACGGCTTCCCCGCAATATCCGCGCGCATGTTGGGCTTGGAGCTTAACGTGCGGGACGTGAGAAACGCGTTGATTATACAAAGCAGCGCGCGGCCAGGAGAAGCGCGAACTTAACCGCCGCGCAAGCGGGAGGAGCATTGGCCTAAGAACGGCCGTGACCCGGCCTCCGTCGGCCTCCTCAAAAGGCCCCAGAAAAAATCATTTTCAACGGCGGCACTTGTATGTCGACTTCTATATTCTGGAAAATGCAGAATTATCCCGCGCGCGCGAGCGCCGGTGACCCGGCCTCCGTCGGCCTCCTTAAAGGGCTCCAGAATAATTTAGATTTAGTTTTGGGAATAACAGGTTGACTTTTAAATTCCAGACAATGCAGAACTCTCCAGCGCGCGCGAACGCCGGTGACCCGGCCTCCGTCGGCCTCCTTCAGGGGCTCCAGAAAAAATCAGATTTAGTTTCGGGAATAACATGTATACTTTTATATTGTAGACAATGCAGAACTCCCCACGCGCGCGCGCGGGTGACCCGGCCTCCGTCGGCCTCCTCAAAGGGCTCCAGAACAGAACAAAACAAAACAAAAAAACATGTTCAAACGCGGCACTTACATGTCGACTTGTATATTCTGGACAATGCAGAACTATCCCGCGCGCACGAGCGCCGGTGACCCAGCCTCCGTCGGCCTCCTGAAAAGGCTCCAGAAAAATTCAGATTTAGTTTCGGGAATAACATGTAGACTTCTATATTCTGGACAATGCAGAATTCTCCAGCGCGCGCAAGCGCCGGTGACCCGGCCTCCGTCGGCCTCCTTAAAGGGCTCCAGAAAAAATCAAATTTCGTTTCGGGAATAACATGCCGATTTTTACATTGTAGACAATGCAGAACTCCCACCGCGCGCGCGCGGGTGACCCGGCCTCCGTCAGCCTCCTTAAACGGCTCTTCAACCAGCCAACCTGCCTACCAGCCGGCGCACCAGCCAACCAACACACTGGACTTAACCAACCAAACGGCGCACGCGGAGCCTTACGTGTACAAATTTGTAGATATGCGAGGATTATCGCGCCCCGCGATGCGCGACGCGCGGTGAACTTCACGCCCCTGCGCCGCCGCCCTGGACAAGGGCGGCTCTCCTGCCCGGGCCGCGACGCGCGAGGCGCAATAATCTTCGCGCCCCCAGGGGTGACCAAGTGCAAAGGCCTTGGGCGGCCACGTGTTTCAGAAATGTGAAAACCCACGGATGCAAAGCACAAAATGAG